CTAGGCTGGCAGCGGCCCCTGAGGCCGCGCAGCAGGGCGGTGCAGGACCCCCGCCTGCGGTGCAACCGGTGGCCGGTCTCGTGCAGATCGGGCAGGAGGAGGTGCAGCATGGGTACTTGATGCCATTATGATCACCGAGCGACTCCAGCGAAATGTCGGCCCCCATGCCTCAGAGAGTCATGGTCGACACAGGTGCTGGCAGGTCCGTGTGTCCGGCTGGTTTTGACTCCCGGGCAGAGCCGGACAGCTCTGTCAAACCAGCCACGCTGACGACGGCGACGTGGGAAGAAGTGAACCTTTCGGACGGGAAGAGGTCTCGCTTCCAGGCAAACGACGGCAGTGGCGTTGTCTTGCGGTACAGTGACAGCGACAAGGTCACGGTTCCTGTCGTCTCGGCGTCAGAGTCGACCGAGCAAGGCAACTGGCTGGTATTTGGCCCTGGGGTACAGCGTATCATAGGGCCAGACCACGCCGAGCACCTCAAGGAAGCCGTGCGCCAGTCGAGCGGATTGGACATGGTAAAGGATAGGGGGGCGCATTGGCTGGAAGTGTGGGGGGCGACAGGACAGGAAGAGGCGAGGCCGCTCTGCCCAGCGAAGGCAGCAAGGGAAACGTTCACCCCGGCTGAACAACTACCAGCAGCACCTGATGCCGCGCAACCAGCAGCGCAAGGGGAGGCCCCGAGGCCGAACGTGCAACAAGGAGGGTCGTCCTCGAGCGCGTCCGGCGCTATGCGCCCAGACCCGGCGCTGCCTGACCAACGGCCGCCTACGCTGATGCCGGACTCGGAGGAGCCACGGGCGCCGTGAGCAAAAGCCAGACCACCAACTGTGAGCAAGGCGGAGTGGGGCGCGCACCAGTTCACCCATCTGCCGTTCAGGTCGCGGTGTGAAAGCTGCGTCACAGGCAAGGCCGCCGAAGACCCCCACCGGCAGCTTGAGCAGGCCCCCGACGGAGCAACGCCGAAAGTGTGCATGGATTACCTTCCCCACGCAGAAGGCGGTGGAAAAGGAGATGTACGCTGTGTTGAACGTGCTGGACGCGAAGTCCGGCGCCCCGTTTTCAGGCATGGTCAACCAAAAGGGTGACGACGACTACGCATTGGCAATCGCCCGCGAAGGAGTGCGCTTCGCAGGCAGGACAAACTTTATTGCATGTTGTGATGGCGAGAACGCTATCAACAAGCTGTGCGACAAGTTTCTGGAAACCCGGCCTTCCGGGCATACTGTCACGAAGGTGAACGCACCGAGGGGCAGTAGTCAGAGCGCAGGGCTGCTTGAGCGCAGCAATTACGAGGTTGAGAAGGAGTACAGGGCCGTGAAGCACAGGTTGGAGTCTGTCTACAAGCAGGCGTTCCCACTCAGCCACAAGGTGCAGCCCTGGCTTGTGAGACACTCGAGTTGGCTCATCGTCCGTTTTCTCGTCAAGGTAGACGGCAAGACGCCGTGCGAACGCCTGCGTGGCAAGCCATACAACGGCGAGATTGTCGAATTCGGGGAGTGCGTCTACCACAAGAGTCCTCGTAGCGAAGTGGGCAAAGCGGACGACCGCTGGCACCCTGGTGTCTGGCTCGGGAAATCCATGCGATGAGACGAGCACTTGGTTGGCACTGCCAAGGGAGTGCTGTTGTGCAGGTCGATATGGAGGAGGCCAGAGAAGAACAGGTGGGACGCGCAGCTGCTTGACCGATTCGTCGGCTCTCCTTGGGCCCCAGTGCCCCCAGGAGTCAAGGAGGTCAAGCCCCGTGAGGTGTACATCACCCTCGACCGGGTCATCCGCCTCGGCAAAACACCCGGTTGCCCTGGCTGTCGTGCGCCAGGACAGGCGAGGCGCACAGCTGAGTGCCGCGAGAGGTTCGGCAAGCTCGTAGGAGCTGAAAAGGAAGACGCCGCCAAACGGATGCAGGAAGCGCAACCAGCGGCACTTGATGCCGCGCAGCCAGCAGCGGCACCTGATGCCGTACAACGAGTAGCGGCACCTGATGCCGCACAGCCAGCAGCGCACGCTGCTCAAGCACACCCGCCTCCTGCTGCTGCACCGCCAGGCGGTGCGCACGCAAGCCAGCAACAGCAACAGCAACAGCACCAGCAAGCTGTGGAGGGGCAACACCAGGCTGCACCGCCAGACGTGCAGATGGGGGAAGCACGCGTAGGTCAGGAGGACGCCCGCGACGTCGAAATGGAGGGGGAGCCACAGGAGGACTCCCAGTCGAAGAGGTCCCGGCTAGTCGCCGGCCTGCCGACTCTCCACGAGCCAGCTGTAGTGGCAGCTGCTCTTGGGACGTGCGTGTGTTTTCTGGCAGCGGCACCTGATGCCGACAGCAGCGACCCACAAGTATGCCCTGTACGGATGGAGTGGGGCAAAGATTTCTTCTCCACGAAAGCAGGCATCAAACTGGACCCCCAGAAAGTGCTAGAGGGTAAGATCCGCGAGATGACCCAAATAGAAGCCTACAAGGTGAAGGAGGACATCCCATGGTCCACAGCCAGAGAAAGGAAACTGAAAGTTGTCAATTCGAAGTGGCTGCTTGAACCCAAACCGACAGCTGAAG